GCTTCTTTTTATGAAAAAGAAAAGTATAATTTTCGAAAAGAAATTGCTTTCATGTCGTTTTCAAATATGCAAAAAAAAGTTGCATTATAAACAACATACTAATTACATATATACTTAGTATCAGTGGGATGTTTTAAATCTAGGATAGGCGAAATAATCTTTAGAAGATTCTTATAAGAAACTTACGAATAAAGAAGAAAAGGGTAGATCTTTTTATGCCATTCATATGACATACAGTTAATACTTACCTTTCATTCATATTTTCGATTGTATAATGCTGACATGACTGAGAAAAATTCAGTCGATGTCAATAGACATGCATTTAGAGAAATACGCTAAATATTTGTTTTTATCTAATGTTGACTCTTGAAAGAAAAATTTTTGATCGACTTTGCTAACAGATAGAAAAGTGGTGAAACAGAAAAATGTGAGTGTGAAGAGAAGATAGTTACCCACATTCACATATCTGTGCAGCATTCTCAGTAAGGAATCACTGAAACCTTCAGTGTTGCATCATATGATTGTGTCAACTCAGATGAAAGCTATCAATCCGTCTGCATTTGGATTTTCTTCGTTATTTTTAAGAATAGGCCATCAACATGTTGCGATGATAAACTCCTCACAGACGAGCATTGCACATTTTTCTTCGACTATTTTATTCTTAAATTCTCCAGCATAGTTTTGATAGCACAGAATAAAAAGCTGAGTCTTTTTTTCTTCTATCTGCGCTGAGTTTGTCCATTATTGAACAGGTTTTCAAACTGATTTTGATGCTTGTGAAATAAAAAAGCTTTTTACATCGTGGCTGATCGGAAAATGCAGAAAATCCTTATCAGCCTACCAGGAAAAACTTGACAGAATTTCTTATAATAAGGATAGAATTTTTATTTCGAGTTCTTGACATCTCTTCTCTTTAAAAGGACAGCGATATTTTAATGCAGACATATCAACTTAAGTAGTTATGCGTTGGAAAAGGAAAAAATTAATAAGTTGAGAAAATGTCATTCGGATGTGTAGTTTGGTGCATCTATTGATAGTAGAAAAGCAGACCTTAATACTCATATCCACAACTACAAGCACATTCTCATTAAAGTTTCTTTCACAAATATATCCTGGTCGGCCAGAGATTAGCAAAAAACATCAATCATCACAAACGTCAATACTATTCGTGTACTGACATGTTTGAACATTGTTTTAGATTCTTGTATCATAATATTTATATTGAAATATTTGTAATTCATGCACTTTATGCAATACGATTTTCTTGAACATATAAATGTGTTAATTTATTAGCAAATGTGTTCAAATTGTATATGAGAATAACTATGGAAATTTATTATTTTGCGTCTTTTTCTTTATAAACATATTGATATTACGTCTTACAGATGTCAAAATAATAAGTAATGTTGATGGTTTTTTATTGCTTTTTCCTTTTTCATATTTTTTGAGGTATAAATATATATATATATATATATATTTTTATTTCGTGTACATGATTCACTATGCACAAATCAATCATGCGCATCGTTCCGTTCGCAAGTTTCGTAGTGTGCAATTTAATATGCATATCTGGTATATACCTGTTTGTAATACGGTGTCTCATTAAAAATGAATAAAAAAAAAAGGGAAGAAAAGCAACAAGCGAAATAGCAAATGATAAAAAGCTTATCGCGTTGCTTTGCTGCAAAGGTAAGAAACACATCATTTGAAAAAAAAGTGAGTAATTCATTAGAATAATTTCAAAAGCAAAAACGAGTCTATTAAAGAATGTACATAAAAGATGTTTCATAATAACTGATAATAAATTACTAATGATATTTTTCATACTTTTTCTTGATGTAGACAGCGGAAATTTTTATCACATATATATATATCTAATCAAGGTCTATTATTTCTGGAACTTTCAATCATTTAGCTGTAACTAGTGGTGAAATACACATTGAGAAGATTGGAATACATTGATTTTCCTATTCGATTTTTGAATTATTTCCACTATAAAAAAAAAATGTAAGAAAAAACGAGTACGAAAATGTATTTTTTTTCAATCTTGTCAATGTATTTCATTATTAATTATATCTAGAAAGCTGAAACTTTTCAAAATAAAAGATCTTTATTAGATATATATGTAATAAAAATTTCAGTTACCTATACGTCAAGAAAAAAATATGAAAAATGTCATCAGTAATTTATCACCAGTTATTATGAAACATTCTTTATATAAAGTTAATGTCTTTACTTTTCTCAATATCTTTCTTTCAAAAACATATCATAAGAGAATGTTAGACTATGCATGGACTTCCACATTTAATCTTTAACGTGAATAAATATTCTACTAGTAGAACAGAATCATTACTACTTATCAAGAATAACGCATTGACACTTTTCCCATGGCCTTTCGGACAGATGAGAAAAAAATGGTTTTTCTAGTACCTTGCTCTTGAACACAATGAGTATGTTACGTAGTTCTCGCGTTCAGAGAATTTATTAATTTTTCCAAACATGTCATCAAACATTCTCTGTCGAAAAATTTGTAAACGATGATAATTTAGCTCATAGAAAAGCTTTTTGAATATGAAAATATGGATTGATAAACATTGACTTTTCATTATTCTAGTAAGTTATTACATATGAATAGAATTTTCAACTGGATTCAACGACATATTCAGATAGAAAAAGACAAATTGCACCTTCCTGATGTGATTGCAGAGATCATCAATATCAAATCATGAAATAATTTGGCAAAAACCAAGAAGAATATATCATGATTTACTCACAATTTTGCGCAACTTTTAGGTCTATAAATTGATATCGATCATGAAATACTACGAATTATATCATAAAAAAAAGAAAAAAAATTTGGTTATCTGTTTTGTACGTCTTATCAAAGATTTAACACATTTTACAGAGTCTGAAATAAATGAAAACATCTCTAAAATAGTTTTTTTATGACTACAGATGATAATTATTCAAAATATTATCTTCCAGCTCACCGAAATGGTTTATAAAAAAATTCAATATCATATTCATGATTAGTATTCGTCGATTCTACACAACTCTGTATATTTCACTCTTAAATCGAACATGAAATTTGTTGTTTTTAAACAACTATGAAGAGTAAGAACCTAATAAATTCTCGATATCGCATCTAAAAGTTTTCGGAGATGATCATTTAATAAGCCATAGATTTCGGCTATAGACATACGTATTTTGTGAAAAGGAAAAATATTTTTTTTTATTTTTCATTTCAGATTTTTTACAGTCAATAATTGAATTATTCGTATGTAGTGTATTTTAGTTAAAAGTTCTGAATCATTACTATCTTCCTGCGAGCGAACAAAATGGGTGCACAGTTGTCGAAAATTAATTTAAAACTTATTGAATTGACTACAACGGATGATTTAACATTGAGTTCTGATACGATTGTATCAAGTTATGGTAAAGAAGATATCAATTTATTCTTACCAATAAAATTTACTACTGATACAAAGACAAGTTTGATTCTATCAGATGATGATTGTCGAATATTTAACTATGAAAATAAATTAATAAAACAAATTCGAAATCATCTATCATTATTAACAAATACAACCGAACAAATAGCAATCAATGATGAAATTGATCACATACTTATGAAAGATATTTATGAATTAATCACTAACCAATATCAGAGAGCAATGAAAGATATTCAACATATTTTTAACACCAAAGAGGAATTACAGAGAACTATCAAGGAAAAGTTGGATATAGATAAAAATATCGATGAATTCATTTCTACAGTACCATATGCTACTACACGAGTAGAAGAGGAAAAAAAGATTGAAGTCACGACTACGACTAGCAAGCAACAACAGGTAGATGTTGGATTTCAAAAATTCCTCGGCTTTAGTTTACAAATGTTAACATCGGTATTATTAATTCTGATTAGATCTGCTGAAAAGAACGATCCTAGTATTATTAACCAAATGTTGACTCTAGCTAATCAATTTTGTGAACAAATCCCAATAGAACGTTTATCATCATCCATATTATCACCGACTACACATAATTTGTTGTGGAAACCGTTGCAACCTTTAACAAACTATATAAATGAATTATATTTATCAGAAGATCAACATGTATCAAATCAAAGTATTAAAATTCTATTAAGTATCTCAATAGCAAAAGGATCATTAAAAGATATTTTATCTATATTGAAAAAGCTAATATTCAACAAGGACAATGTTGTTTACGATGTACGAGGTCTATTGCTACAAATGAACGATTGTGTATTAGGAACTATTAGTAAAAGAGAAAAAGTGATGCATGAGACACTCACTAAAAAAGCAAGTGTCTCAACCTCGTATTTAGATTCAAACGAAGATGCAAGTGAAAATGAAGATGAAGAAGAACATAAAGATAAGCATGAAGATGGAACCGAAGACGACAAAGTCAACTCGTACTTCAGACAAGACTGCGGTAATAATATAGCATTAAGCGAACTTGCAGGTCAGAATATTGTCCGATGAACCCTACTGCATTTTCACTAAAATTTGCGTTACTTATATATTAGTTCAAGTTTTACTGACAAAAGTGTTTGTATGCAACAATCAAAATCTAAGCTGCAAAACTCGTATTAGATTTCGGAAATAAATCATCCATCTAAGAGATATCATAATTTTAATCATAGATTAAAATGCGATAGCTTAGCATGAAAGTCAGATATAATGGAAAAACTAAAAATCTTGTCGCTGAGAATACGAACTTTCGAAAACCTTCATATTCAACCCTGTACACAGATTATTCGAGAATCATACTAAACGTCAAGTAGTGACTTGGAATTATTTTGAGAGTATCTAGATCATTCAAAATAGAATATAGGAAAACGTTGATATTGGTATTAAGAGATGGAAAAGAGATAAGGTAATCGAATTGCTACTTTTGTGTAGCCAAGATTATGAAAAGTAACTGTACATATGAGCGAGCTTTCTCTACGAAGCTGTGCACATCGTAGATATTTTCTTTCTTTCAAGAAGGTGTTTCCATTCACGTGATGTAAGCCTAAGAAACCATAGGTTCCTTTCTAAACAGAGATTAGACGATGTACAAATGTTAGCAAAATAGTCAACTTTTCATTGCATTCGCCTTATTACCAGTGGGTAGAAGAATGACTGGTTGATCTTTTCTGAAAGTGTGGGCTGAATTGTTCGAAAACTAACTGGTTTGCTAACTATAAGTGCTGCCCTCATCTCTGTGCAGGAAAGCAAAGAAATATTTCTATCATGACAAGCATGATGTAAAACTTGTGTTTTATGCGCATCTAATGTCAATCAAGTTATCGCTTTTACTATTGACCAGTTAGTTTTTACAAGGATAATTCTCGAAAATAATCTGAAACTCGCTACACTGGAAAAAAATTACCCTATGGAATCATTTTTGCAAACGAAATTAAAAGCTGTTTTGAAATTTCCTGCGAAGTCAGAACATGTTCAAAATGATTGTTATGGTTGTAGAGAATTTTTTTTAAAGGTTTCGATTTCGTTAGAAAATTCGATTTTTTTCAATTGCCCTTTCACGTATCAAACTATCATTGGTTCCGTATGGTAACTTTTTTTCAGAGTAGGAAGTTTCGGATCCTTAGTATAGTTATGTGCCATAGTCTTGGTCATATGAAAGCAAGCATCCAGTCTTCTTATCTCTTTTCTGCCTCGTGATACGAAGCTCGACTTATTCTGTCTTCTATTTTGAACTATATAGAGATCATCGCTCGAATATACCTTCAGTTCAAATGTATTTTTTCGTGTGTTGAAAGCTTTTCTAAATTCATGGATATGTCATTTTATGTTATACTAGGAATAGGACCACTGTTCAACAACTAAAGCTGCCTATCTCACAAAAAATTAGTCGTGTTATCTCCATCGTGTTGCACATTTTCATCTTTCAGGAATTAATTCGAAAGCTTTTTATTTTTAAAATCTGTCGATTTAGTGCATACTAATCGTTTTTTAGTTTTGCGACAACAAATAAATTTAATTAGAAAAGCCGACCTGACATTTTTTTGTAAAAGAAAAAACAATTTCTCTGTTGAATGAGTCCAGAAGCGAATTTTAATATGCTTCCTACATACTTCAATGTCTGAAAAGAAAAACTGGCCATGGCCAAGCATCATTCATTCACTAACATTCTTGAATAAGTATTGTTAGATTCTAGATGGCTTAGAAATTACCAAGATTGCACTATCGAAAATTGTTTTATATGAATAGATAACATTTCTCAATGATTAGTTTGAAGCTTTAGCAACAATTGTTTCTCTCAAGGATACTATAAAGTGAACGAGGCATCAGGGCTCAGACAAGTACTTTAAAAAATTCAAGTATTTAAATAATAACTCTTCTACTATATATTCACAAGTTTTATAGAGCTCAATGAGATAAATTAAATGAGTCTATTGAGTATGAGTTTATTTCAAATAGCAGAAGAGTTCAATTTGAAATATTTGAACTTTTATCAAAAGTACTTGTTCCAGCTTTGCAAAGTATCTATCAAAATACTAACTATGGTAATAGAATGAACCCCTCTCTCTCTCATTCATCTTTATTCTTATAAAATTTTATTTTTAGGTAAAGTAGATTCGTCAGCAACGTCTACCGATGAAATCACTACAGTCTTTGATGATCATCTCGAAAGAACACTTAATAGTCAAGGTCAATATGCTCATTTGGGCAGTACAGGAAAATTCTACTGTGGTAGTACACTTGATGGACCACAGTGTAGCTGTTGTAATGGTATATGTGGACCAACAAATGGCTGTAATTGTTCAGCGTGTATGTTACTTGATGTTCAGAAACGAGTTTTGTCTCGAGGATGGCTTGTCAACAGTGACGGTGCATCAGCACGATGCAGCCAAGTGATGCCAACGACATTCTATTGTGGTCGACAGGTTATGCCAGATGATGGTACAAGTGATGGATATTGTGGACCTACCAATGGACCACAATGTACAGCATGTCAAAGATTGAATGAACAGCAAAATGATCGCTATGGCGCAATTTGGACTGGTATGTAATAATACTCTAGACACGTTTTTGCCTAGGAATTTAGTCGAGTTTGAAAAAAGTTACCATTATTTTACCAGTTCCATAAAACAAGACGTATAGAATATTAATTCTATTGATTATCGGCTGTTTTGGTTTGATGTAAACACTATACTTTTCATAGTATAATATAAGTATCAAAGGCACATCATAATGAAGAACACTTGATAAGAATCCGAAGATCATTAGTAAATTAAAAAAATCGTATATAAAGCAAAATCTTAAAGCAAAATGAGCAAAGAACAATTGTTGATTTTCATCCAATTAATACATTATAGCTTCTTGGGATGATGAAAATCGATTTCATCGCGATATTGGATTTTATTAAACAAAAGAGCATGAAATGCTCTATCACTCTGTATATTCAAATTTTGGCTTGAACTTCTTTGCTGAGAGATACTTTGAAGATTGTTAATGCGGTGAGAGTGTCTTCACTGTAATTGAAATATTTTTCAGCAAATAAATACAAGTCAAGACTTAAATACACAGAATGATAGAGAATTCCGAGCGCTATCAGAATATATAATTACTTTATTTAAAATATCGTTTTATATTGACGATAGAATTCTACTGATCCAAACGTGCAGAATTTATGTTCCAATCTGATAGAATACTGTAGATCAGAGAAAAACCACTGATTTCTTTTTTATGGTTCTATCTAAATTAAAATAATGTGTCCATATTTTGACTAGTTAAATATCTACTATTCCAAAGAAATGATAGTTCTCTTGATTATATTTATTCTTGTTAAACTTTATTTTTAGTCCGAGACGATTCATCAGCAACGTCTACCGATGAAACCACTACAGTCTTTGATGATCGTCTCGAAAGAACACTTAATAGTCAAGGTCAATATGCTCGTTTGGGCAGTACAGGAAAATTCTACTGTGATGGTACACTTGATGGACCGCAGTGCAGCTGTTGTAATGGTATATGTGGACCAACAAATGGCTGTAATTGCTCAGCGTGTATGTTACTTGATGTTCAGAAACGAGCTTTGCCTCGAGGATGGCTTGTCAACAGTGACGGTGCATCAGCACGATGCAGCCAAGTGATGCCAACAACATTCTATTGTAGTCGAAAGGTTATGCCAGATGATGGTACAAGTGATGGATATTGTGGATCTACTAACAGATCACAATGTGAAGCATGTCAAAGATTAAGTCAACAACGACGTGGTCGATACAAGCATATTTGGATTGGTCAGTAGTGTTGTAAATATGTTTTGTTTCAAGTTTAGAGACATATTTCAATATATTTCCAGTTGCAAAATAGAAGAGCTTTCCAGCTGTAAAATTCAGAACATAATTGACTATTCTATTTGATTGTAAACAATATATACTTTATAGGTCATTCAGGCATGAAAACTTTCTTTGAACCAAAACCGTATTAAAATTTTTACACACGATAAATCCTTTTTTTTTTATTTTTACTTTTTGTGGTATGTTCTTCGATACTAATTACCAATCATATTTCATAAAAGAAGGCGCTAAGCCATTCAGTGGAAACACTGTCCATTTTGTTTTTTTTTAAATGTCTCGATATAGACTAAATTAAACGATAAATGATGTTCCGATCAATATTTTATTTTTTCAATTAATCAAATGTGTAGTAATCCCACTAAGTACGAACTAATCGACCTATTTTCATCCCTATTAATAATTCTTTAGATGATCTTTGAGCGATTTGTAACGATGTTTATGAAAAAAAATCTGATGTAATTTGAGAACATGCCATTTTATTCAGTTAATTATAGATTTTAGTGCTTATCTGCCTAGGTTAATTTAACTAAAATTATAAATAGGTAGCCATCTACTTTATGAAAAAATTTTTCTCACAGACTTTTATTAGATCACATATGTATCACTTATATTTAATATCTAGAAAAGTGTAGCACCTATTTAAAAATCTACTATAGATTTATATTATACAAAGTACATTCACCTATTTAGAGGAAAGAACATTGGTGTCATTGAATTATTTAAAAAATCTTGGTGTATATCCAAATACAAAATTAATGAAATTGAATGAGAAACAATTTACTGGAAAATTCATATCCTCTATGGTTCTGGCACATATTGACTTTATTAATGAAGTTAATTCAATTGAACAATATCAATATGAGTTAATCAATGATTCAATATCATTCGAATTTCATTCAGATACATTCAAATTATTATTTCAAATCATTGAAGAACTAACAATATTGATAACAGACGTTTCAGATACACTTTTACTTCATATTCTAACTGTTTGTTTGCGATTATGTCAAATACATTTGAAAATTTTATGTTCTGTAAAAATGAATTTTGATAAATATTTATTGAAGAGTAATGATAAAGTAACAAATATGATTCAATCTTCTACAATATCTACATCGAATAATCAACTTGATCTAACATCATTTGCAACAGACGATCAATTACAAAAGTGGTTTGAAATTTTACGGAAACTGATTTGTACTGACAATGGAAAACCTGAACAAGCTACTATATATAGTCAAGCGTCAAAAGCTCTTATTAATATTCTTGATATACAATCATCGTCATTTATAGAAAAGTTATCATTTATTCATAAGCATATAATGGAAAATAAACATCCAGTATTTGTAAAACAATTATATAAAGAATTAACAAAAAATCATGTTTTACTAAGTTGGATTGAAATTTTATGTAATGACAATAATAAAGAAGAATCCGAACAAATTCTAGCATTAAGAATACTTTATTCATTTATTGATAGTTGTTTTAAACCATCGAACGAAATAGAAAATGAACAAATTCAACAACGTAAACGAATATTAAAACTATTTCAACAATTACTATTAATGCAGTTAGTACCAAAATTTCGATTAAAAATAAAATCAAACAATAAGTCTAATAATGAAATACTTATAGGTGTTGCTTCAAGTTCTATATCATCTATGATAATTAAATATATTACTTACATATTAAATAATTATATTGATAGATTAACAAGTGTAAGAGATTTATTCAATTCAATACTTGCAGGTTTATGTCTAATGACAAAAACAAATGAGATATTTGATTTTGATATAATACAACCAATATTCACAGCTATTATATCACAACTCATAGAATATGTATTTCAAAATATAAACACTGAAGAATATGAAAACAATAATCTACATTGTATATGTTGGTTATTAGGAAAAATGTCTCATGTTATGATTATTGGTTCACAAGAGAATTTACTAGAAAAGAAATATAATAATAAATTAAAATCAATTTTATTTGCTGGTGGTTGTGAAAAAACAATAATTGAAAATAATAAATATCTATTAGATTCAATCAAATCTCCTTTAGCTAATTATAGTCAATTTCAATGGTCTAATGATATGGAACAATCATCTTTTGATAATGAATTTCTCATGTCAATTTATAATAATATTAATCAAGGTGCACAATTAATATCAAAAATGAAAATATATATAAAAGATAAACAACGTTTTTTACAAAAATCAATTGAACAACAAGTTAATGATGCATTTGCTGCTGTATTTGCTGTCTATATAAAATATTATCGTCGAATTAATTTAGCTAAATTTGAATTATTACGAATAGATAATGATAAACCACATGATAAACTTATATCTATCTATGAATATGCAAATTATGTTCAAACATTATTTGCTACAACAAAAGCACAAGGTGGTGATTGTAATGAACTTTATAAACAAATAAAAACTAATGCATTATTTCTTTTATCATCTATTCAAGAAAGTAATTTAATTCCAATAATCAATGAAGATTCTCAACAACCATCAACACCACTTACACCAACAACAACACCGATAGAACATAAAACAAGACCATTTTTTAACCGACAAATCTCACGATGGACAACAGCTAGACGTATTCTTCAATTGCTTCGAAATACAATGAAGGCTTGTATACGTTTTAAAAAATTAATGATAGCTAAGAGAGAAGCTATTAAACAAAAATTCGACAATGAAAGTATCTTAAATCGTGCAATTGACTCTTATATTTATGGTGATTCATATAAAACAATAACAAGCGAAGAAAAACAATTGGAATTTGATGAACTTATTCAATGTATGTTACAACAGTATAAACGAGCAATGATAAGAATAAATATGTATCGATTTATTCAAATATTTATAGAAAAACTATTAAATATTGAAGATCAAAATCGAGCATTAACTATCTTATCTTTGTATTTGTCATGTTTAAAAAATCAAAATTTAGAATGGTCCTATTTAGAAAATATTGAAGCATCAACATGTAATTTAAAAGAAGAGATTGGAAATAGTTATTATTCTATAATCAAAACTATTCTATTCCATGCATTACGATCTACTACATTTGAATCAAAATTTTTATGGCAAAATATGTTCAACTTACTTAACTTATCATATGAATCATTTGATATTGAATATCTTTACCGCGATCAATTTGTACAAACATTATTCACATCATTTGTTAGTTACAATGAAAAGTCAAATTATAATGTTGAATTCTATAGAAAATTAATTGGATACAATTGGTTTCGATTGTTTGTTTTGAAATTTTGTGAAGTCATTCAATTAGCAGAACAGACAAGTGTAGTCAATAGACGCCTAATCAAACAGCAAAAATTTATTTTCAATACTTTGATTTTAAATGAACTGAAAGCATTAATACAAACGATATCAATTGATACAGAAAATGAAACTAGTTGTTCTTCAAATTTCGCAAAGAATTCTTTAGACAATCTTGCCATTGGTTGGTTTATTAAAATTGCAACAACATCTCAAAATGATACATCGATTATTTCAAATGATCTCTCATCAAAATTCGATATTGAACTCTGTATAAAACAATGGTTAACCTTTCTACTTCGTCTTGTCCATTCGTACGAACATGTTCAATCTATTTGTGCAACAATTGATTACATTGAAAAATTACTATATATTTATCGAAACTATCAGAATAGTGTTACTGGTTTACTCTCATTGAAAATCTTACGTTACCTAATACCCAAACATACAAAGTACACGTCAAGAAATGTTATTGAAACATTTTTTAAAGAAATTTTATCTTGTATTGGAAATAGTTTTACTTCGCAACAGCCTCCATTATACATAATCACTGAATTAATCTATTTCTATCGTACAGTAATGTCTATGAAATCATCATGGCAAATGATGGCAACAAAATTGATTTTCGACACTATCATATCAAGTCAGAATAAAATCAATTTAGAATTATTCAAAACTGACGATAAGAACCAAATGAATTGTTTGATAGCATCATTATGTATATTAGGTGGATATATTCAGCCTTACTGCTTAGCTTCAATTGTGAAAGTTTATAATGATGAAGATAATAATGAATTTCAATTGGCACTTATCATAGAAACCAACATGAATACTAATGATTCAGATTTGCCTGATGGATTATCTTATGTGATTCAATATTTAGAAACAAATAAAATTGAAACAGTGACAATTGATAAACTACAAATTGAAATCGATGTTCCACCACCAAATCTACTCTTGTTACCAAACATAAATGAAACAAATATTGCTATACATTCACTTTTTGATGCATTGGCATATTTTATACAAATTGATACATTAAAAAAGGAACCTGTACTATTATTACAATTGCAACGTCATTCAATGGCTGTTCTCTGTCACATATTGAATGATAAAACACTCATCGACATATTCATGCAAAAACCATATGCATCTATTATTATTAAATTATCCATATCTGATTCGATGTCGGAAAATTATCGACAACTATCTGATTTACAACTAATGAATAAACAACATTTGGAACAGTATTGTTTAAGTTTAGATACATATCTACGCTTGAATGAAATTGTACACTACGATAATGGTAATAGTAATGAATTATTACATGATATGATAGTTGTAAATAGTAAACATAAGTCTTCAGCATATATTTGGAATCATGATCAAATTAATCGTAATCAATTGATTGTTAATGCTCTATCAACAAGTGTATTCAAATATAATGGTTGGAAGCCATATGCATCAGAAATTGAAATTGAATCGTTTAAAAGTGGTCGAATCGGAAGTAATGAACTTAGAATTGTTCCGATGCCGCTTGACACTAGTGATTCAAGAGTATTTGAAGAATGTGGTAATAATCATAAATTCAAAGGACGAATTTCTCCAAGTTTAGAAAATACTAAAACATCGTTTCCAACGTATATTATTGATGATGTTCGAGTGAGTGAAGGTAAATGGTATTATTGTGTTAAAATACTAGTTAGTGATGTTTTTCAAATTGGATGGGGAACAAATGGATTTACACCCGTTCCAAACAACGGTCGGGGAATAGGTGATGATAAATATTCTTGGTCGTACGATGGATCACGTGGTGTTATTTTCAATGATGGAGAATTTCGTTTCACTTCTGATGATATACGCTGGAAAGAAGATGATGTTTGTGGTTGTGGTATTGAAATTGATGGTGAGAATATTTGTATCAAATATTGGCTCAATGGAAAATATCTTGGTAAAGCTTTTGAACATCAATCAAATATCACATCAACAACGACAAAATGTAATATGTTACCAAATGGACGGCAGGGTACTATCTATTTTCCTGGTGTTTCTTTACGTTCTTATTCTAGAAGCCGTTGTGAACTTATTTTTAGTCCAGAAGATATGACGAAATGTCCATTACCGAAAGGTTATAAACCATTACTACTACCAAAATTGATTAATATTGAAAATTCTATTGTCGCTTATCCTTACAGTGCTTATTTGATTGATGATTGTGTTGAAAATAATTTTCATATAGATCGAAGGAAAACATCAACAACTTTTCTACGTGATTTTGTAAATGAACATCATCTTGAAACAACATTTACTATCGATGATCATCAATTAGTATTGCCAGAAAATAGTACTGGTTTATCACTTTCTATCAATAATGACGATACATCATCATTGACAATCAGTTTTGATTTTAAAATTTTAAAAAGTTTTGAAAATGATACTACCACCAAAACATTGGATATCTTTATCATTACTCTAGAGACCACTGAAATATTCTCAGTACAAACTTCAATAAGTAAAATTGATGAAGAGATACGAACTGTGATTATATTTGATCCTACACCAGGACAAATGATAATCTATTTCAATAATGAATGCCGAAAATTTCATGTGACTTTTGAAACTGCAAAAATGACGAAATTTAATTTTAATATAATACCTTATGTTACCATTGGAATAAAAAATCTCGGCATTTGGAAATATGCTCTTTCTGAAGAACATATTCAACGTCTATTCACTTATGGTTTATTCTATGTAGCGGTCGATTATCAACAATTGAAAGAATATCGAAAACAAGCAAATACTATTACGTTTCATAAAAATCAACAACAATTTTTAAACGAATTACTTATTCCATTTGATGAATCATTCGAAGAGAACATATGGGAAATAAAGAAGAAACAAGTTGATGTTGATGAATCAAAATATTTTAGAACGATTGTTGGAACCGATGAATCTGTTGTACAATTATTTGGAAATAAAACTTATCTTGTTCTAGACAAATCAGCTGATCTATGGTACGAATATACACTTATTCTAGATATTTGCATACCTAATTGGCCAATGAATAACGAACAATTGACACTATTGACATTGAATACAAAATCAGAAATTTATATTACACATAATGGTAAAATTGTTCTATCGAGTAATGGAATACAAAATAAAAGTGATTCGACATTAAATTTGAATGAATATTTTCGTTTACATATGTCATTTGAAAAGAAATTTGTCAAAATCTACGTGAATGGATTATTGAAACTAAATGTCAATGTTGATAAGGATCAGTTCATAATAAAAGCCAAACGGATTGATCTATTTCGAGAAATGGATTTGACAAAGAATACGACTAGTGATGATAGACTTCGCATCGAATGTAAATCGATTACATTTCTAAATAGTTCATTAGTGGATGCTGATAATTGTGAAGAAATGAAATCGACAAAATATTCATTAGAAACATTGATTGTGCCACCTTTTTCAATCGTTGCATTAAATTTAATTGCAATTGGATATAAAGAAGCATGGATAAAATATGTTATGAAACAATACAATACGAGTAACATTCAATTAATTGATACAATTATACGTGAAAAAAAAGAAGAATTCTTAAAGAACGATGTTCAGAATCGACAAAAACGTTACTTTAATATTTTTTCAAGATTAAATCCATCGATCGATAGAGAAAAATTGGAAGAGTTACTCATGTTTTCGAAATTTGATTCCGACGAACAAGTGACAAATGCTTATGAACTCGTATTACTTCATTGGCATGATCTACAGACACCGAAATCTTTGTTTAAGACATATGAAACAAAAGAAAATCTTGCTAATTCAAATGAAACTGAAAATTTATTTTCAAACAAGAAATGGTACTGTCAAATTGTTCGCGATTTAGATGTCAATGAAGATCTAGATGAATGGATTCAAGATAAAATAAAAATGGTTGAAATAGAAGATCTCACTTGTCAATTGTTTGATTTAACAAAATCTGAACAAGAATTATCAACAATGATATCAATTGTAGGAGGTCAACGAAAAAAGATTAAAAAATCAATTCAATATTCACATCAGCAAATTTCAAAACAAAAATATATGACCTTCCGTATCGCCTGTGAACATGAATTAATGATGATCTATGCACGTTGTACTATATTCAATATGTTAAAAGTTTGGTCAAATCATAGTTTAAATAAATTTCCATGGGAAATATTTGGTGATTATGGATTCATAACTACATTATTACAATTGATGGATTATCATTATATGTATACAAGTACACATAGAGATGAGAATTTTGATGTCATAAGTTTGTTATCGAATTCGATATTCAAAGCTGAAATAAAAGAATTATTAAAATATACTAGCAAGCATAGTGAAATTAATAGTGAAATTTTATATAGAGAAGTTCCCTTAATCTATGAATTGCAAAAGAGCATTACTATTCAATTGATCCAATTGTTGTTTGATCCATCATTATTGCTATATGATTATGATAATGAGACAAAGGCTATAGATGAACAAATATTGATCAAACAATCAAGCATAACTTTTATTGTAAAAATATTGAATCTATTTGTTGAATTGGCAACCGATAAATCAATCATGAAACCTTATGATACTGATTTACTTATTCCACTACTATTTCCAGTATCATTAATCAATCTATTGTTCGATTTATTTTTGATTAGTCCAACACATCAATTGAAAATATTTATTCTACATCTCTTTTCCACGTAAGTAAAAAAAAAAAACATTGACAATATACAGTAAAATTTTTCATAATTATACGTTTTGATGAAAATGTAAGTTAGACTTATTTTCAATAACACTAACCTTGTACAGGTAGAAGAACAAGGAAAGAGAGATAGACAAGAAGGAACAAGTTCAATTTAGTACGTGTAAAAACATAAAGAAGAAAACTAAGTTACACAATGACCTAGTTCATAGAGAAAATACCCATATGTGATGCACTAACACATATTGGACAATTCCTTCACTTTAACAAATGGCAAGAGTGTTAATGTGTTGAGAATGAATGAAAGTGTGTGAAACTAACTGTTTATCTTACTCAAATCTCCATCTGTAAACACCGATATTTTACCCGCTGGCTGGAAGTTGTAAATCGAACTACGAAGATCTACATCAAATTATAATGAGATATAGAGGGTATGGGTGCTATTATGGACATTCTTTACAGCAATATCCACATCCGTATGAAATAGTATCTAGAACAGCAATATTAGATATAGTGAAAATTAAAATAACTCTATATATTGTTCTTTTGTTTGATAGTTTACTTGAAACAAGCAAACACTTCAATTTGAATGAACAAATTCAACATTTCTTATTTCAGTTATTCATCGAAATATCAAACAAAGATAATTTGATGACTAACGTAACGATGAAAATGTTACAAAATAATCTCATGGACTTAGTATTTCTACTATTCGAAAGACAGAAATATCAGCAAATTACAACGCATCTAACAAATGATCTAAATCAAGAATTTAGAATCGATTTAGCACAATGTCCACAAAGTTTTCGTGATATATTGAAAATAATCGATATTATCAATGTGTTGAACGATAAAAAAAGGCAAGCACAATTTTCTGAAGTTGTTTTTTCAATAATCGATGATGATTCAGATGAATCTTTGAAATTCACTCGAGACGATGTTGAAAAATCGAATAGCCATTTCGATATGGTAGCTGATCAACAATTGATTAGTTTTATGAATAAACAATTGCTGATCAATGACTCATTCACAGATTTTATTCAGAGTCTATTTATCGAAGATATGTCCGATGCGACATTCTACAAAACTTATTCATCTCTATCGAATATTCCAGCTGCTTGTATAATAACGCGTGCAAAACTGTTCTATCGATTAAGTATGCTTATCGAAAAAGTTGTATCACTATTGAATTTTACTTTATCACCGGGACAGAGTATTTTAACAGATAAATTTCGAGCACATAAAACTTATTTATTGTACTCAACAAAACTTCAATGGTTCGAGCAATGTCTACAGAAAACTGGAGCAACATCGTTACAACATATTCCTTCAATTAACTTTGATGCGATAAAAGCAAGTAATGTTGATGATAAGGACGAAGGTACTATGTTTCATCAAGCTTATGATCAATTACATAAAAACGCTCAAATAATATTTCGAAGAGAAGAGGAACAACTTTGGCTAGCACAATACATTGGAATGCATAGTACCGATCAAGGTGGACCCTATCGAGATTCAATAACGCGTATTTGTTCAGATATATGTAGCACACGATTGTCATTATTTATTTTGTGTCCAAATGGACGAACACAAAGTGGTTTAAATCGTGATCGTTGGATTCCAAATATATTTCCACCAAATAAATCAATTCCAACTAAAATAAAAGAACAATATCGATTCATTGGACAATTAATGGGCATGGCAATACGTCAAAAACATTATTTAGACTTAAAATTTCCTATTCTAATTTGGAAGCAATTAGTACAAGAACAAATAACTATGGAAGATATTGAAGCAATTGATATTCAAAGTTTTACAATTATTAACGAGATGGCAAAGATTGTAAATCGAAATCAATCGACAGATACTGAGAATGATATTAATTATTTACTCAACAGTATTATGAGTGAATTACATTTTGATATTGTTAGTTCAGCTGGACAAACTTATGAACTTGTACCTGGTGGTGCAGAAATTCCAATTACATCAAACAATTTAAAACAATATTGTACATACTATTGTACATATCGTCTAAATGAATTTTATCGACAAATTGAATTTATTCGTCAAGGTTTATATAGCATTGTACCAAGTTATTATTTGAGTTTGTTTACAGCCAGTAATCTTGAAGAAGCCGTATGTGGAAAAGGACAAATTGATATTGAATTATTGAAACGAAATACAATTTATAGATATGAAAATGAAAATAAACCACATATTCAACGATTTTGGAAAGTTCTAAGTGAATTGTTTGATGAAGATCAAAAAAAATTGCTTTTAATATTTGTTTGGGGACGAAATATATTACCAAGTACAGATGAAGAATTTACATCAAAATTCATTATTAATCCATACTATACAATCAATGAAGAAGTAGATAAAGTACTTCCACGTAAGTAGAATTCAACTTTTTAAATTTAGAAAATGATGTCAAAGCAAATTTACAAAATAAAGAAGCAAAATTTCTTCGTGAAATTGTAGAAGATTAAAATAGTTTGTCGTATAGGTTTTCTCGTTGGGATGAATTTTCATACTATAGTTAAGCTTTCTACTCGACAAGATGACATAATTTTCATTCATCTACTTCTATCAATTTATGAGTCAGACAGTTTAGTTTCAGAATTTATTGACACAATATATTAGTCGCCAATTATAGAAAGTTTAAAACTAAATCGAAACAGTAATTACAAACTCTCTTAACTATTCTCGCTTTGATATCAATCTCTTACTGAGTCATTTAGAAAACAATTTATGTTTTGTAACTTAGCAACCATTATAGATAAATAGTTTCAGAATCCAATTTCTTCGAAAATGTATATTAAAGAGGCAAATTAAAAAGATTAGAGATTTGAAATCAAGGTTCAAAATTTTGTTGCATGAGGAAGATTAGATTCTTGACTGTGATGTTACTGAATGGAGTCTTATCTTCACACGCTTTCGTAGAATGTTTACTCTGGAAATTTTCGTTCGATACAATCTTAAAGTAATAGAACAATCATTTGAATTGATGAAAAATTAACTTTCGTTTTTTCACTTACGTATGTCTGCTTGCACATTCTGTAGTTGAACTAGGCGATTGTCAATAAAAGAGAGAGATTACTTCTCTCGAACTCTTTCGGTGGAGACTCAATCGTATCACAGCACAGAACTCCAATAGGAGGTTTAAATTCGTTTGTCCTATCGTTGGACTCACAACTTATAACTCAACAAAATATATAGATCTAAATAGAAATGAATACCTTTTTCATAGTTTCGACATTTTTCAAAGCTTAAAATAATACTCATCGAATCATGATGACTTTCAATTCATAGAGAACAAATGGTAAAGTTAACAGTCTTATGGTAAGCTATAACTTTGATAGTTTTACAGTGAACTAGATACGAGAAATCATTAATTACGATTAAATTCTTCGTTCAGAATAGATTCGCATGTCTTTTTTTTCTATGACAATATGCGATCATTGTTTGAGGACGGTTAATTGTTGTGAACTATGTTTTAATCCGTTTGAACCTTAAAAATAGGCATACTTGATAAAAAAAAAATCGTCTAATATTTAAACAGAGATGTTCATTAGATTAATATCTGAATGTTAGATTTTCTATTAATAAAATCTTCTATTATGCATTTGAAGTTTTTCTGCATCATGATCTTATATATGAAGTAGTGGTTTCATTTTCGGGAGAGATATCGACAGAGCTAGATGGAATTAAGTAGAGATATTTTGTAGTATGATGAATAAATCATGAAATTCATTCGTTTTAGGTTCACATACATGTTTTTTTTCAATCGATTTACCTGAATATTCGACGGCCGAAATTATGTACGAACGTTTGAACTATGCTATTACCCATTGTTCAAGCATCGATGGCGATGGCAATATGGTTGAAACTATTGATTTAAGAGATTTTGTTTCGGATGATGAAATATTAACAATGTGAATCATGTTTCTAGAATATAAACATTTATTTAATCATGCTAATAATAATTCTTTGAAGTTTTTGTATCTTCTGCTTGTTCATCAACTCTCATAGGTCTTTATCTGATTGTTCAAAGGATTTTTTCAATACAATACATGTATACTATACAACTTTAAGTATGTGATTGATACGTGTATATAATTATTTTCAAAAGCAAGATACCATATTAGTGATTTCACTTTATTATTTATCGACTATCAATTAGTAGTTGGATACAAGTGTAGACATAGATAGGATAAGAGTGTCAGCATGGATATACCGATTATGGCGTAATAATGTGCTTTTCAGTCTCGCAAATTCTTATGCAACATCTACAGGGTGTGGATCTAGATCTACTCTCCATGCTTCCGATCACAGCCACACTCAGTTTTAGTTCGACCGACGTTGAATAAGTCTTTTTTAAATATATTTCACAGAAAAAACAGATATAAAATGGCTCGATTATATTTTTGAAATGAAAGGTAGGCAACAAACTTTGGTCTTTATATAATTTACCAATAAAAACACATTTTGTGTTTCTTTCACTAACGGTCAAAGTATCTATAGTGTTTGTTTCACCTTGTTCTTTCTATTATTCGCTTCATACCACAAAGCTGCTCCTGTAGTTAATGCTCCTGCCAACTCCCATATTACTATACCAATAAGACCTTCCGGTGCGTGGCCATTCTTAATAGCCAAAATGAATACTGCAACTGTTACCAATCGGAAAACAACTGTAAATTGATAAAATTTTATCCATTGATTCCAAGCTGCTAGTAAGTAGTATATACCCATATTAAATGAAGCCATCGATGAAGAAAGTAGGAATGCTATGGTATAATCACCATCTTGACGTGTTGATCGATCGAGAACAATCAAATTCATTCTGTTTAATAATGTTTCAGGCCTTATTAAACCGAATAGACCTGCTGAGATAGCCATTAAACCAAAGACAAATATGGTCAAGTCAGATACAGTTCGAATCATTATCTGTAATAATCAGTTTTTGTATAAGCTCACTATTCCGTTATCTTGTGATATGTGAAATGAAATTTTCTTCGTTGTACTAACAACGAAGAAAACTTGAAGCAAGGGAAGAAACGGTATCACATGCATGAATATCAAAAAGTGGAAGGTGCGATGTGAACAAATTTCGAGAACAGGACGGTGCTGCGCTCCACGCCGTCTTTACCCTTAATAACATCCCTGGAATGCAGTTCAAATAATAAAAAAGAACAGGATTAATAAATTCTTTGTGACTTTTTGAAAGAAAAGAAAAAAGTTTTTTTTTTCTTTACTGTGGTTTACTTTATTTGAATAAATGATAAGATTTCAATGAATTTTCTTTTCCCAGAAAAAAAATTCATTTATAACAGTAGTAGCATTGCTGTAGCAAACTAAGAAGAAATAATGGTTTTATGAAGATTGATCTGTTAATATTTACCTCATGCTTTGTGAAATACGATGAAAGCTATTATTATTCGTAATTACTTTGCATCTAAACTAAAATACTGATTAATAATTAAAGCTGGTATTTTACCTTTACTATTTACTACTAAACGGTGAAATTTGAACTCAATTGATCGAACAGATCAAAAGTTATCGTCAAAATAGAAGCCGCTACGAAATTTCTTCATTTCTTAGCTGTCCTTTCAAAAATAATTAGGAGCATATTTTTCTATGACAAAACGGCTTGCCATGCTCTCGTTTGCACATAGGTAAATAGTTTGAAGCGTTCTCTCGTTACATTCTTCGTCTTTCACATCAGTTCTTTTTCTTTTCATTCTCTTAGTTTTTCTTTTTTCTTTCTTGCTGCACGTCGTCTTCGTTCGTCCCACTCTATCCTTCTCTCTGTGATATCATATCTTTTCTTTATTGATATAACGAATATCTGTTTAGATCGAATACTATACAAAATGTGAGGGTGGGTTGTGAGATTAAAATAAATTTCAAATTAAAATAGATATATTCTTTCATGTTACTTGTTCATGGTTACAAATCATATAGATTCTTTATCGAATATCTACAGTGACATGTCTCGAGTAGTCCGAACGACTATACAAATATAATTTGTCTCTCAAGATCATAGACATTGCCAATCGAATCATGAAAATTTTACATGCCAATTTAGACATTGGGAAATCACTAACGTGGTTTCCACAGCCAAAGCCACACCCTTAGAATGTTTTTTTCTTGCGAATAAATGTTTCAAGTAAACAGAGCTTTTCAACTTTTTTGCATAAATCGTAGTAAGACAAAGTACATTCCTTCTAAATATTTCAAAGTATTATCCAATAGATATTTTTTCTAGAGGGATATTTAAATTATGAAACTTTAAAACGGAGATACATTAATGTTAATTGAACACCCGCCTGGGAATTCATCTAATAATGGTTACTAATTGTTTATGAATGAAAAAACAAATGTTAATTATAATTTTTTGCGAAGCATGTCAATATAATTTTGAACATTTTGTACTTTTTCATCATTCGAACCGAAAGCTGAACGAGCATGAAAAAGGGAACGTTCAGCATGTTTAATAGCTGCATCATAATTTTCAAGATCTTCATAGTTTCTTCCTGTGTTGAAATGAATCACATACAAAGATGAATGATTCGGAGATGATGATGCTTCTTGAATCTCGAGTGATTTTTCATAAAATTTAACAGCATCTGTTTTCTTATTCATAGATGAATAAATAGAAGCCATACTACTATAAAGTGGAGCTAATAATGAATCATTTGGAGAAAGTATTTTTTCTTGAATAGCTAAGGCTTTTTGATAAAATATAATAGCTTCAGAATAACTTTTCATTGAATGATATATTGATGCAATACTTTCACAAGTTGAAGCTATTGCTGGATCATTCGGAGAAAGAGTTTTTTCTC